CTACTTTCAAGATCATTTGGAGATCAAATCTTACGGGCCAATTAAACTTAAAGACAGAAATAAAATGACGCTTATTGCCATTGGTCGCTTCTTCCGTACAGTCATTATTATTGCGCGGTGATCAGCTCCGATGAAAAAACCTGTAAGGAACGTTGAAACGATTGGTCTAATTTAGACATGTTTATAGATACAGTAACCCGTCGAAGAAGACGAGACATGAGACTGTTTTAGCTCCTTGAGTTCCCAGTACTAGCATTGTAACTAGACTAGCTTAGCCCATGGTCTTACGCTTGCCAAGTGCACGCAAATAGAAAGGGCGGCGTGTTTATTCATCTAATCGGAGCCAAATGCCTAGGATTCCACTCATCATTTTCTCGTTTAGGAGTTTGGCGAGTCAAAGTATCTTCTCTAGCTTTGAATTTAGCATTGAAATTCTTTCCGTAAAATGACGACACACCTATTTGAAGCTTGGAATAGAGAAAAATTGCTGGAGCTGGCGTGAACCCAGCTAGTCTGGAAGCGTGATTTATCATCATGATCGAGTTTTTCCTCATAAGTAAGTTCTTGCTGTTCATAAACAAGTATGGCACCTCCAATGTTTTTCTTGAAAAACTAAATTCCTTATAGATGGACAATCGATAAGTAAGTAGTGACGATATCTCTGAAAGGGTCACATTTCAGTGGAATGTCTATCACTTAGAACTGAACAAGTGAGTCAGGACCTGTCTGATGTGAGAGCTCGATTTTGCAGTAAACTTGGTATTAGGTGTTCAGTCCAACTGACTCCTCTCTTTATCAGACTAAATGCAACGACATTTGACTGCCATATGGATAATGCTGAGAATTTGTTTTCCTTCTAAATATGAGGCAAAACTCTGTTTTCAATTTAATTGGAAAGATAACACAAACGTGATCTATTTACCGTAACCAACTCCTTTCATAACAGCAGTAATAGGGATCAAAAAGCATTTAACACAGCACAACGGCAATTATTTCTCACTTGTTACTAAAGTAGATGAAAATCATCGGTTTTCTGTTTGTCTGGCTCTGTTTTCCTGTCCTGCAAAGACAACCACGTTATATTGAAATCCAACTAAGAAATAGTTATTCTGCCCAGAGGGCGTGCTTTATTCTAACTTTTATTCTGGGAATAAAACTCCTTTGTGTAACCATTTGGTTAAACATGACGTAAAGAACTGCCGACTTAAATTAGTAGGCACAGAACCTGTGTTTCGCTTCATGACTTCAAAGTAATTTGCTAGCTCGGTTGTTGAGAAGAATCTACCTACAACATGATCAGGTCAAACTTTTCATGCGCTAGAAACTATTTTGTTTGCTTACACTGTATACGACGTGGAAAGTTCTGGCCAGGCCACCGCTGAAAAAGAACCATGCACTTCACACCTGAATAATCCCTCGCCACAACTCTGAGTTTTCCTTATCTTAAGGGCATTTATGGAAACCGTGCGGTTATCTACTGCATCTTAATATCTCTATCAACGTCAATTAAAGTAACTGCCTTGAAGGACTGAATCGTGTAGCAATACGTATTTCTTGATTAGCTGGAAAGAGTTATCATGTACAAACTATTGTATGCAGTACTTTTGCCATCTGATTGATTTTGTTTTTCCTTTTGTGTTAGGCTTAATAACGACAAATGAATAAATATTTTCTTTTCAGTAGCCCTCAAAGCTTTTTCTCCTGACCTTTGGTTTTACAATGGCTACCTGCTCCAATCACGCATATTATTTGCCTTCAGGCAATGCTATGAAACCGTGGGATGTTGATATTTTTCATTAGGTCGAAAAGAATATTTATTAACGCCCTCAAAATAACCCTAATTACATTCTATTCAAATCATTACCGACTTACAAGACTCATTTTTTTTTCTCCCACGTCATTTTGTCAGCTCGCTTTTTTAATCTTACGTTTGCACTTTGATAGTAAACCCTAAAATATTCTCGAGAAAGGTCTCTATATCATCCCATAGGTGATATCCATAAGTAATGAAAAGTTTAGAACATTGCAACCACTTCCTTACAGAGAGCGTTTTCTACAAGCTCGTGACTTGTTAAGCAGACACCACCAGGCTTAACAGGAGATGTAAACACGAGCTTACAACGAAAGACCACCAAGTAAAATTGAGCCCTTGTTTAAAGGAAAAGCTTCCAGAAGAAACGAACTTGTCATAAGTGTGTTGACATAACCTGTCAACCGGAAATGAAGTCTGAACCCTCCAAAAAAGTCACATCCTTTATCACTTAGTTCTTGGAGATACAGCCAAATTGTGAGCCGAGATGATATAAAAATTCTCACGGCTTGATTTAGTTTGAAAGTCGCCTCACACACACACACAAATGGTGATTTTTATTGCAGCTTTGATGAGACAATGGTGATTTCAAAAAATGTTTACCTTCAGCTCATTAAGGCTCGTTTGTGAAAATTGACGGCAGCTGTTGTGTATGACGTTAATTGAGTAAAAACTGAGAAAGCATTACTTTCCTTTCTTCTTAACTTCGGGATTCTCTTGTCCCAATTCAACAAGTCTTACATTTTATTAGAATTGTGAACTTCTTTGTCCTCGTTGTGATTAAGATCATGCACTCAAGAGCGAAACACTGTAAAATACGTGTCAAGAGTCAAAGCAACCATCAGCACATATCTCAGCGAAATGTATGCAAAACTCTGCGCATGAGAATTTTTACAACAGCACATCGAGAATACATCGGTGCCTACACGAAATTCTAAAACAAATGTAGCGCTGCCGTTCGCAACTTCAACTTCAGTACAGTTTAAAGCATTTCGTAAGCAGTTACTCAGGTATACGACATTTGGAGTTTATCGATAGATCTGATTAACAACAAACCATTCTGGGAACTAATAACTGACATAGGAAAATTGACTTTTGAATCTTTTTGTTTCGTATTGTCAACGTAAGGTTAAAAGTTCGACGTGTAAACCGTGAAGAAAATACACCACGTTACGCATTAGTATGTTGGCGCTTAAAGTTCAATGAACAAAAAATTTGTCACGTTGTGACGAATGAAGACAAATTTTGATTGCCTCTTACCTGCAGAGCTAACATAAACTTGATATACAAAGTTACAACAACGATGAGAACGCTCTGGCGACACCAAGATCTTAATTGCCAAGCTTGTTAAAGTAGAGCGAGACTTTTTCCCTGTCTCGATGACACCGCTTCGATTTACGTTGCGCAAACGCAGCCGAAGCGTAACGAATGGAGTGTGAGAAATTAATTCGAGCGTGAAACGTCAAAGAAACAATGCATGCAAGGGATACTCAGTGTTTTTACAGCTCTTTGAAGAACACAAATATTTATGGTTTTTGAAATACGCAGGATTAATCTGATACTGCATAAAAAAAGAAAAATAATTCTTTTATGACTGCTTCTTATAATAATTTCCTTATGGTGAAACCATTTGAAAGATTGTGAACTACTTGGAAATGGAAAAGTTACTTAGTCCAGCGAATGTTGGTTCATTCCTATTTTAACATTTCACGCTCATATCAAATCTTCCAACTTTTAAGGAAAGTTTAGCTCGCATCTTAAAAAGATATAACAATATAAACAGTAATAATAATAATAATAATAATAATAATAGTAATAATAATGATACAGTAAAGACTAGTGAGAGGGTTGGTTACCAGCGACATCCCTATATCCAAAGGAATTTTTAGCGTTAAGAATAACCACCTTCAGCTTATTGTAAACTCGATAATGAAGTTCGGTAAGGCAGAAAAGGTGGACATAGGTATAACTCCAAAAACAAGAGAAAAAGTACTCATAGTGTATTGCCTCTAACCAAAGAGCAACAAGTAAAGATAGAAATGAAGAGGATCTAAAAAAAAGGCACTTTGTAGCTAAATTGAAAAATCAAGGGCTACCCAATACTCAAACTTGTTCTTGGAGTCTTTCTTCCAATTGCAGGAAGTAGGGAGGCCCTGTGATCGAGGTCGCCTAAAAACTAATATAAGCGCTGGAACGTTGCTCGGCTGACACTGGGTACGGGGACTTTTTTGCCGCCAATGAACGTGATGAAAGCCCAAAGGAAGAAGTAGGAAGGGAAGCGATGGGTTCCGGGTCGCCCAAAATCTTACGATATACGCTGCAACGTAGCTCTGCTGAGAATAAGTGCAAAGGCTTTTTGCCGCCAATGTGCGTGATGAAAGCCCACAAGAAGAATAAGAAGGAAAGCGCTGGGTTCCACGTCGCCCAAAATCTTAAGATTTACACTGCATTGTAGCTCTGCTGAGACTGAGTACGAGGACTTTTTGCCGTCAATGCGCGTGATGAAAGCACACAAGAAGAATTAAGAAGAGAAGCGTGGGCTCCACGTCGCCCAAAAATTTTAAGATTTACTCTGCAAAGTAGCTCTGCTGAGACTGAGTACAAAGCTTTTTTGCCGCCAAAGCGCGTGATGAAAGCCCACAGCATTACATCAGAGGACAAATATCCAAAGTGTTTGTATCGCAAACTTCATTCGGCAAAATATACGCCATAAACGAACGCCGCACAATTTACTCTAAAATCTAATATAACTCAAGGTAAAGGTCGATACAAGAGATACAAATGTCTAATTTTGCGCTCGTCAAGATTTAAAAATGATCCAGAACCAATTCAACAAAATAGAAAAATAATTAATTCATCGATAGCTATTGTCCTATTTTTAATAACTGAAAATGTTTTAATTCAATGCCCCGTACACAAAGCACAGCATGAGAACTTTTCCGCCGATTGTGTGTAAAATTCAACATCATTAATTGCTAGCGTGTCGTTTTTTTTCTTTCCAAGCTGAGCTAAAAAATTGGTCCACAATTTGTAAACAGGTAGTTACTAAAACGTCTGGGGTTTCAAATACGTTTCCACTTGAAATATTAGAAAAAAAAAATAAAAGTTCCGGCAAACTCAATAACATGAACAAGTATGCATCAATACTACCCGACTAACGTTCCGACGACATTTCAAATCTATTCATTAGACGAGACAATATGCCTGGCGATCAGTCGAAATCAAGGTTATGGAAGGTGGTTGTCTTGTTTCATCGTTTTACGAGGTAGGAAACACTTGTGCAACATAACTTAATTGTATGATAGAGTTTTGCCATTCTGGCACGAAAAAGATCGCATGGAACTCTTGCTTCTGAGCTCTTTCAATGCTCTTCAAGCAATAACAAGGGCTGTTATAGATCCTTACAAGTTTTGCGAAAATTACTGATGCTTATACAAGTGGAACGAAAACAGAGTTATAAATATAGTAAGAAATTATTAAGCAACGCGCCTTTCCTTTATTCAAACTTAGGACAAATGCGGTAGTTTTTCTAATCGTTACGATAAAAAAAGCATTCCATTCAAAGCCCTGTACTTTACAAAGAAGTATTTTGTTCGATGTAGCCGCTATCAGATCTCTCAATTACGTTTTCGGTCTTTTCTTTGCTGATACATGACCTCAGGTCCTACAGAAAAATATTACACAATAAAATGTGTAGTTGTAAAACAAACTGATTTAGTTTGGCCCTAAAGGGTAACTGACAGTTCTTACTGTAATGCACGAACGTGCACTAGACTACAACACAGCAAAAAGGTTAAAATATGATTCCTTCCGTGAGAACAGTAGTTCTCTGAAGTCTACACTAAAAATTGTCTTTGCTCCAGTACAACAGAGCCACATAAATCGAAGTGAGGATTATATTTGAGTTAAGAGAAGCTGACTTGAGCCACCAGATTATTGAAATGGACTGAAATGTTTGCAGGATTGGGAGAGAGCTGTTTGTGAAACATCTGCATGATGCAAAAGATAACCCCATAGCGTCTGTAAGGACCAGAGAATAAGGGCGTTAGATTTATAACCTTGAGATTATTGGTTCAACCTTTTTCTTCACCCAGCCTCAAGCCTACGTTTGTTTCGTAGCACTCCTTCATTTATGTCCCACGTTTTGCCTTGCAACTGATTTGTCCAACAACTGTTGGAATTTGCAAAAGTCCTAAGAGGTGTTTATTAACATCGACACTTAAATAGAGTTTTATATTTTATTTAAAACCCGAGACTGCAAAACCATACAGCTTTTGACATTCATTACAGGTATGGGTGACAAGGAAGCTCATCAGTACCTCATAATTGAAATTTTCACCTCAATTGGCTTCGTTTCTTATTTCCGACTTCAATTCTTCCTGTACACTTTGTAACCAAATTACTGGTTTGCCTTCCACTAATGTGGATTTATAAAAATGTTCTGAGTTAGCAAAGTGTTGCTTCAAAAACATTGGCCAACACTATAAAACCTATCACAGGTTTCACTTTCGATACGATGAGATCGAGAAGGCACTTCATCAACGATACACAATCACATTTCTCATTTTCCAAAGGTTCTGAGCCTTTATTTTGAAAAAGCCTTGGTGTCTAGATCACTTTGTAAGTTTGCTACCAGCTGAAGCACCTTATTTTCATTGAAGCTAATCCTTGTTCTGCAGTCATTGCTTTGTTGAACACCATTTAAAATTGTTTTCTCCAGAGAATTGCTTGTGTAAACTTCAATTGTGAGGTTTCTGTCGGCCATTTCATTCAATTAAACCTTGGTTTTCTAACATATATTGCTGGTGTGAATAGGGCACTAAACTTAAAGAAGCTATACAAACATTGTCTACAAACTGAAAGTCAAACTAAAATATAAAGTCATTTTTGTCAATTTATAATGTTGCTCAAGTTTATTTTGCTCTAGGTAGTTAGTGTTTGCTAAGTAAGCATTCTTATCCACTAAGTTGTTTTAACTCCTGAAATGCTGTTATGGCTGACATAGGGCATCTGGTGCACACCCGAAAAACTACTAGAAGTGCTCAACATTCGTTGTTTTGTTTCCCGACCATTTGAAAAAAAAATAGAACACAAACAAATGTCGGTAAAATGGAAAGGATGTTTTCCAAGGCGGATATAAGGAAGTAGTTAATCCAGTCGTGTCTGGTTAGAGTTATATCGAAGTTACCCCATGCAAGCGTGGGAAACTCAGAGCATGTGAGGAAAATTGGCCATGTGCCATCGTGCGGCTGATTTTACGACAGGATGGCTAAACTTTCAAGAAAAAAACGTGGACCTGAAGGAGCCAAGAATGAACTCAGGCATTAATTTCCTTTTGTAGGCTTGGACTGAGGACTTTGATATCCTTTTTTCATATCTCAGTATTCCATATCTTGCAAGTGGTTTATCAAACTAAATTTACTCACCTTGTTGGGTATTTTTAGATATATTCAATTAATTAATTAATCTTTATTTTCAATATTTAGTTATATCATTTATTTGGGACAGTTGAGGCTAATATTATTGTGGGGCTGAGATTCGATCAAAAACATGTTTTTAAGCCAGTTCCTGGTTTCTCATTAGAAATGTTTACGTTCTGTGATATTGCTGAATTTATCTATATCTTGCCAATTTAGATTGACATATTTTGTTTTGCGTTCAGACGCAGAAGACCAAATAGTGACTTAATACTAAGTTCACAAAACGCCTCGCACAGCAGACCCAAGAGGTCAAATTACATTGCTCTCCTAGAGAACAAGGCAGTACGTCATATATACACAATAATGTTTACATGGTCCCGCGTTTTCAGCTCGAACAACAAATTCACTCTTTTCACTTTTTTGAGGTATTATTTGGGTCAACATTATACTTCATCCAAAAAAAAAAAAAAAGAAAAAACAATGTCCGCCATGACACAAATGAGAGCGCATAGGCGGATAACTCCTCCTAAACTTCCAATCAGCGCGCGGAAACAGAGTCGAACCTAGGGCCGCTCTTTCAATGACGTACTATGATAAAGGGTGTGGCACACAAGGCAAGACGCCTCTGCGAAAAAATATTGTGTGTATTGATCACCCAACACAAGTTGTTCTAACGTTTCCTCACAGCAGCCATGCACACGAAATTCGAACCAGTTTGAAGCACTCAAACATGTTTCTGAGACAAAGATTTTGGCTAAATTCACCACCAACGACGAAATTTGCCCGCACCGCGTAGCACCGATTCGTCATCCGCACCGAACTCTTTTTATATCCAACATTCATCATTATCATTAGCCTCTTGAAAATGAAACTGAGACGCGCATTTAGCTCTATGCCATAGATGAATGATGAAAAATGTCTGACTTAAAAGAATTTCGTCACCTCCGACCAAACGCCCGATTGGATTTTTTTTGTGGCACATGGATGTAAGAATCAGCGGTGCAGTCGTGATAGAAGTGTTTTCCTTCCAACTCATTTCACCGACGCTATCGCATTATCTCAATTTATGGAAAGCTTAGTGAATATCCTGCTTCATAGTCCAACTAAATTAACACTGTTAGTTTAGACAGCAATTTCAAGTTTTCACGGCTCTCCACTTTTTCAGTTATAATCGCTTTAGCCATCTAAAAGCCATCGCAAAAGATATTGCATTAACAATTGCTACATAATATGCGATGTCTAGACTGCACTTAACAAAACTCACATAAAGCTAAAAATGGATCACTATTCGTGAGCTTAATTTGCATTTTTCAAAACGGTTCGTGATAGTTTCCTAAGCGTTTCTGATACCAATATAGCATCTAGCAACATGTTCAGGTATATGACCTTATTTAAGCTCTGTAAATCCTACAGAAACAAACAAATGGTAACTTATCTAGTGGATACTCTCAATTCACGAGGCATAGATAATTGACATCAGTTCAAAATTCAAGAAAACAGCCATGCACATTTTGGTTGAAAAATCATTTTAAGTTACGTAATAGATACAAAATTAGATGCAAGGGGAGAGAAGGGGGAAGTGGTGGGAGGGGGTATTTGTCAGTTTCCAAGTTTACCAAACTGAAAGGACTAAAAGGAATTTTGGGCTTGGGATCAAGCAGCAATATTTTACACTAGATATTTGTCAGGGACGAACATGCTAGAAGCGTTTTAAGGCCAGCACCGTGGAAAATCTATCAAATGCTGCGAGGGAAAAGGAGTATGAGGTTTAACGAGAGCCAATAAAAGAAAGTGGTTGAGAATCATAAGGAAAGTGATTTCTGAACAGAATCTCTTCGCCAATGAAACGTGCATCGGTTGATTGATCACTTATCGGAAGACCATAAGAAAGCATTCCTCTTTTTACTCCGCCATATGTAAAATTATACTCAGTATGAATGGTCATAAAAAGTTAGTTTTCCATAAAAATTTTACTCTATTTATCTCAATCATGAACATTCTAGACTCGAACTCGGTGAAAATACAATATCATAATACCATGTACGCAATGTCAATACGAACTTCGCCCATTTGCACAATCACGAGCAAATAAGAGATTAAAGTCCCATAAAATCGACCGCAGTCATTTGCCGAAAAACTTGCTCTGATGAAAGTATAAAAGTGTTGCTGCATAAGCAAACTGAACGTAAAATTCTGGGACACAGAATCGAGGCCGAAAAAGGATCATTTATATGCCCCTTGTAATATTTCTCTTAAGTTACGGTCCAGTGACTTGAAGTGAAAAAAGACGTACGAGAATAAACCTCTCTTAGCAACATACCTAGTTTGACTACGGTGAACCACAATGGGAACAGATCTTGAACAGGGATAGTGTTAGGGCAACATGCTGCTTGCCAAGCCCTTAGTTTTTTAAATTTTTTTTTCATTTTCCAAAGCATCTGTTTGCCAGATGCTATTTAAGCGAGCAAAGACTGTACTTTCACAGGTAAAAACTGTAACATTTTCTTATTTAATTTCTTATTGCGATTTCCGGGAAGGCCGGATTTCTTTCTTTGATTCCAAGAGTGGCTAATTTATTTTCTAAAGTTATTGGTTTAATTTTCAGAGTTATCTTGTTTTGTTGGTACAGTCGCCGGTCACTTGGCTAACACAACGATGCAAGACTACAATTAATTAAAACTTGCTGTGCTTTTTTTTTTTGTATGTTTGTGTGTTTCTTCGTAGACGCCATTTCACGTGAGAATTCTCAACGTGCAGTCAGCAAAGACGAAAATCAAATTTAAGACTGGCATTGTTTGCTTTACGCAACCGAGGAAAGGAAATAACTAGCGGTAATTTTTTCTACTAAATCCCTCGATATTACGTCGATCTATAATGTAATCTGATTACAAAGCAAACAAAATTTTAAGAGAGTTGCGGGAAGATAAGAGTGGTTTGAAAGTGTAAGTGAGGCTAATTTCCTTGGCTTTTCGTGTCCTACTGTCCAATCAATAGCGCTTTCTTTAGCAGGATCTTTCACACAAAATGAAACGAAAAACATATTGTGTAAACTGTAAATTCAATTTGAGTTTGTGCACGTGCGCGACTTAACCCTAAATGATTACATGTGAATTGGCGAATAGCTAGTACATAATCGATAAGTCATTCGTTCTTTAAAAGAGTTCAGATTTGCGTTTCAAGTACATTTGTGTAAAACAGGTTTAGCTGTAATTAATTCTGAATAGCTGTAACCCTTTCTCTGGTAACTAATACACTGCCAGGAAAGTCTATTTTCCCATATTAAGTCTCAGCGGCCAAGTTCACTTATGCAGTAAAATTGAGTTAGCCTGTTTCATTTAATTTATAATCTTGGTCAGCCATGAATTTTTTATGATAGGGAAAAACGATTTGCTTGTAAAATAAAAATACTTATCGGCGCAATATACGCACCTCACAAAAGAGAATTCTCGTCCTTGTATAAACAAATTTGCACGCATTTGCAAACTTTCTATGGAAGACTGACCTTTATCACGGGCTAAAACCCCCTCCAGGAAAACTATGCAAAATTACTCTGAAACAGTGACCTTCTTGAAAAATACAAGAGCCAAGAAGTTCCGAAGAATTATATTCTTAAACAAGTCTGTTCCTTTTAATAAGCATTCATTCGCGACCGGAAAAAGCTAAGTGCTCTCCACATTATACTGTACTTTACAAAGCGATGTACTAACGAATTTAAAATGGGTACATTTCCAACAGCCTTGTGTCAAGTCACCATCTCATTAACTTATGTATTTCCTTTGAAATTAGCAGGCTTTTCCTATGAAAGCTTTACCCATTTGACCCCTAATATGCACTCACAGTTTTTAGTAATGCTTAATTGAAATTTCGGCTAGGAGCATTGTAAGATTTACAGGTTGCTTAGTCCAGTGTACCGCGGCTGCTTCTTTCTGAAATTAGCATACAGGCGACGAAACATTTCAGCCAATGAAGCAGTTATTGTCCAGGGGCGAACACTGCGAAAAGTAAAATAATGTTTGTTCATGATGAAATTATCTTTTATACAGGTTAAACACGAAAAATAGTTGTTATAAGTCACTTTAATTAGGCTTTTCTTTCGCATATGTATGGCATCTGTCCTTTTCCCAGGGCCCATAAAATCGTCTTTAGTTCAAATCCCCTAAGAACAAGTTCGTGTTTCCTCGACCTTGCAACCGATACGACTTTAAAATGGTCGAGGGCAAGGGCACCCAATCATAACTCCTTAAATTTTTTTCCTTTTACTCTGCGACCAAACACCACCTAAATTTCTCTCCTTATGTGTCGAAATCACAATATCTTAATTTTGACTTCCGCACAACAATAGCAATTTGGCTGATGTTTTGTTACTGTGGCGTACTTCAACCATCCTAAATGAGAAAAAACTGCTTCTACAGATGCGTTTCATTTTTTCTTTACAATCACTTTTTTTTAACTTGTTTGATCTAAGTCAACCTTGCGCCATTTGGCCGGTTTAAACAGACCAAAGGCTTTGCGTAGCGCCTCAAACAGAGAAACACATTTGTTATTCTATTTTCAACCTTGCATTTTCCCCTCCGAGCGGGAGACATAGAGCTGTAAACTTTGACGAGTATTAAATTTGCAGGTATTGTGAGCTGTGGGCGGGAAAGGGTATTTATTACACGGGGGCAGTCAAAAGAAAGAAACAAAATAACTCACAAGTTTGGGTTATACTTATAAAAATGTAATTTAAACCTTGTATTCAAAATTTCTTCAACTTGCTCGCGTAAATATACTTTCAGTGAGGAGCGACTTCACCTCTCGTTCAGAGTCTGATGTAATAATAACAAACCATTTACTGAAAAATGGATACGTTGGCAAGATTCAAACACCTTTGTTCCACACTTGACGCACTGTTTACAAAATAAAATTTTATCAGGAGTAACGGCATAGTAAATTGATATCTAACCTGTAATTTTTCAATAGTTAAAAATAAATCAGTTGCAGTCACAGTTTTGAAGAGAGAAAATTTTGTTTAACAAGCAAAATTGGAGCCATAATAATTCTTTCACCTTTCAAGTGGAAAAAAGATAAAGAAACTTGAAATGGTCGAAAAATACAAATGTGCCATTGTTCAAATTTTGTACATTATCCATTTTCAACCCAAGTTTGTCGCCGACGACTACAGAATGATAATTTTTCTCTGTTGAGCCCAGCTTCCGAGGGATTTCAAGGAGATTTTAAGAAAAAAAGAAAACTTTTCACCTTCTATTATGAGACTACAAATAAGTCATCAAGGAAAATTAAACAATATTGAAGAAAGTTTCTATAACTTTTGTCAATGTGCAGCTAAGCAACACCTGTGTCGATAACTTTTCTCTCATGGTGAAAATGGCTGTCGGATCGGACGGAAGTGAGGTCTTCAAACAGTGATACACAAACAGAGCGCCCGGCCATAATGAAATCAACATAATTTATATCCAATTGACAAGCTTAACTTTGTGTCAGATGCTTAAACTCTAAGGGTCGAGAAACGAATTAGCTGAGCGTATCACCGGCAATCAATTATTAATCGCTCGTAGAACAATTGAGTAATTTATTTCTAAATCGATCACAGCCCTGTGACGCTAGAATCACGTAAATAATAGGGCTACAGCTGTGGCAATTTTGGTTTCCATTTTTTGTGTTCATTCGGTGTGTAATGGGTTTTAAGAGATCTTAACTTCTAGCTTGGAAACAGAAAACGACCAACACCGGTGTAAAAAGTTCCATTGAGTTTACGTTCGGTGCAGTGAAAATATCATACCAGGTACTTTTTTTTTGCTTTTTGGCTGTTTGTTTTTTCCTCGCCTAGTTTTCTTTTAGTTTATTTGTTGCGTTTTCAAGCATCAGTACAAGAATTTTGATTTTTATCTCGCTTTATCTCGTCGCAATGGTTCCTCTTTTAGAGGTGTCAAGTTACTTTTATCTTTTGCTAACCTATTGCTGCTGTCTCGAGTTCTAAATTCTTAAAACGGTAGTGAAACTTGCCCTTTTATGAAATTTGAAAAAAATTCTTAGCACGATTACTTTCAGAGTCCCAATCTTTTCAATGGGTTTTTTTTCTTTTTTCGAAGACGAAAAAACTTGTCTTGGTTTCTTTCCTATTAACAACCATCGCTGTACACAAAATTGTACCCAGAATATTCATTTATCATTAGAACGGCCTGTTTCGGATACCTTGTTTGCAATAGCCGTATCAAAACAGCACAGAAACTCTATCACAACTTTCCTGTTGTTTACTCAACTAAACCGGCTCGTGTGAGTCAACTTTTGGAAGAGGAATCATTCGCTCTGGTTGACTACTATTAGAAGAAAAAATTATTCCCTGAACTCGTCTACAACAAACCTTTTAACGACGCAAAATGTTTTCCCAAAGCAATTTTCTTCCGTGTCGTTTACACAAGCCATTTTGAAAGATTTTAATTTGCCATTTCGCTTTTAGCCGGCAACTAACTAATTGGGCCATCTTGTCGCTTTCACCCTGAATTCATGATTAAACATTGTGGCATTAATTCTAAACGGTATTACAGCCAAAACGTGGTATCCGGTCATAAAATTGGCGTAATTTTCTGGTTTGGCTTTACATTTTCGCTCTATGAAAAGTCCACGATGGGAAAAGAGCCTTAAATTGACTTCAGAGTTTGTCAAGCGATGACAGGACCACGAACTCTTTTTATGTTTCATCTTAACTTGACGGTAACTTGTCTCTCTTTCATTTTCCTCAACATTGTTCTTCGTTTGTGACTCATTTTACAGGGAAGTATCCAGATAGAATGTCGTATCAGTTCTCGCCAGCGACTCATGGCCTGCCGAGCCTTGCGCAATATCTACCCCCGGGCTGCAAATTTCTGAGCTGCCACGATGCACAAAACGTCCTAAGAAGTTGTTCGACGTGGAGACTTCCCAACGGAACTCTGGTTGCTCCGCTGGGCGGGGAGCTTTACCAAGTTGTGGAAGTTCCCGCTAACTGCGATGAGCGCTGCTCTTATCACGAGGTACGGTGTGGGTTTTTTTTTGGTCATTTTACATGTTAGTTTCAAGAGTGCGGTAACGAATTGACACATTTCACGCGCAGAGCTCCACTTGAAAAGGCAACGAAGGCAAAACGGAAGACATTTCATGTTCAATACACGTAGTTTTACAATCTTTCTTCTGCTCATCTGGGGTTTAATTCGAAGCTAATCAAACATCTCGATCAAATTTCGTCGTCTCAGTTGGAAAATATGGAAGCGAGTTAAATTTTGATTGGGAGAAAATTGCTCTTTATGATTTCTTCCGCAACGGTAAAATTTCCAACAAGCTAAATGCAATATTTTGTTATTTTCACAACCACGAGGGCGTAGCCTCGCAGCATGATGTTAAGCACTTTTTTGTTTCGTGCGGTTTCCTAAAGAACAACTTCTCTTGTCGATCTGAACTTGGTATTTAATAGTTCACCGTTAAAAATTCATAGAGCTGGTCAAAAATTTGTTTTCGTTTTCGACAAAAGCCTCTAAAAATTCATGTTCAACATAAAACATAACTTAAACACTTGAAGTAAAAATTCCGTGTGCAAAGATTTGATGTTATTCTCCCTCAAGCGAATGTAACGCATTTCCATCGCCAAGAGAAATATTTTATTATAAAAGGCAAGGAATAATGCTAATTTCTGCTTACAAAAATTACTTTTTAAAATACTTTTAAAAAGAAATCGACGCGGTGAAATAAAATATTGAATTACTCTTCCCCAAAACAGAAACCCTGTTGTTTTTGAACTGGCACCTGTTTCAGTCGATTTAACTACAAAATGTTTCTCCCACAACGGACTTTGAACGGCAAATAATATTACAGTTTCTTCAAATTTCCAGCTTACTTGAGGGACATAAAATAGCGATGTGATATTATTAGGAATTAAGCGAACCGTCTTAGAAACTTAGCCCTTGGGTCAGAAATAATGAGAACTTAATTTCCACGACCAGTAATTAAAACTTAACTTTCGCCAAGCCAACATAAACAGAATTAAAATTCTGATAGGCAAAGACAATGACAGTTTGTTCGTCTGAAAGGAAACACAATTTTAAGATTAGAATTTAAATATGTAGTCTCGACTGTTTATAAAATTGTAGTAACGCCTCGAAAGAGCTTCTTAACGACTGCCTCAGAGAATGCAAAAACAAACTTAAACCCAAAAATAAACGTCAAAATTATTCTCTTAGCGCTGAGTAAAACATGTGAAAAAGAAAAAAAAGAGAAAAAAAATTTTCGCTAATTTGAATCTTGAAGGATATCGACAGTTTCCGTTTACAAGTGGATCGATTGACAAAACCCGACGACACGTACATAACACATAAAAATAATTAAATTTGTTCAATATAATATCGACAAATAAGACAAGGATTTCTTGCAGCTGCACGGATTCGCACACTCGTTTTCTTTTCATCTTTTTCTCTCTCTTTATTTATGTTATCCGCTCCACACGTAGAAAACAAAACTTTTTAGCCCTGAATAGGAGTCCAGTATGGTTCGATATGGCTTTTCACAAAAGGCGCAATTTTCCGTGAAATTAAATTATCGCTACAAAACAATTGGACAAGTATAAAAGTGTGAGAATGTCTTTGTGCAGTTTTTCTCAAGGAAATTAACAAAGTGTTCCTATGATGAAAAGTGCATTTTTACGTACTACGAATAATTTTCCAGATTAGTCTTTCCCTTTCTTTAGATGAAGCATAAAATATTGTTTATGTTAGGCTGCTTTTCCAGAAAAAAAGTGACTTAGAAACGATCGAGGGAAAATAATAACCAAGTAATAAAAAATTATACTGAATAATAAAGACAGAAATAAAATATTTAAAATAAAATATCCAAAAAAATTCCAATTCTATCTCGTCTGAGTTATTTTGATAAACGATACACTGAGAAAACACTTGGAACAGCGTTTCAATTATAAAAGAGTGTTTTTGATATTCAGTGCGCATTCACACAAACTTTGAGGTGGACTTTTAAAGGAATGAAGGGGTAAGTTTCTAAAGAAACTGTGGTGCTGCGTCGGTGGGAGAGTATAGCAGGGTAATTTAGTGTTAACAACTGGGCTGAAAACGTAAATTGGCCACCGTAAAGGGTAAAAAAAATGACGTTTCGAGCGTTAGCCCTTCGTCAGAGCGATGGGACTTTTAAAGGCCTTAGTCTGCGGCGCTGATACCATCGATACACCATTTTAAAAAGACTCAGTCAACATGAACAGGTAAACGATATTTTCTCTAAAAATATATATATGTTAAAACTAACATGTTTTTTTTAATATTTTTTTTTTCTTCCTCTAGCCCCGAGGGACATCGGCTTTGTTGTCTGAAAATTCGCCACTGCTTCGTAATGAATGGTTCCGTTTTCGACACTTGTCTGAACACGAAAGCTCCTCCTGTTACTCCGACGGGCTCAAGAGGTTGCCTCTTTTTTACACAGGTAAGATGCTTTGATTTTCTATCTTCATATCTACCCTTTCCACAAGAAAGCTATCGTTAAAAAAAAGGAAAAAAATCCAGCACATACAACTAGAAAGTCTTAAAATAGTGCTATTTTCGTCAAAAGACAAAACACGTTTTTATATTAGCTGGTTTCAACAATACGACAAGCTTACAAATGATAACTTCTAGCCAAATTCTTTGAATTTCATATCTCATTTCTTTTGCAATATAGCACAAAAGTTGAAATGGCAAGTCTCTTCTGGATGCGACTCGTATCACTTTAAGGACACAATTGCTTCGATATCTCAGTGATTTACAGATACACCATGATTTTCTAGTAATTTCTTCATATTGACAACGGAAGGAATCGTCTTTGACTCCTTCCTTTCAGTCCCTTCATTTTGGTTTCAATATATCAAGGAACTTTAAATTATACATAGTTCAAACCAGTAGTGCTCTCTCTTTTTTCATCGATCACAATTATCTTCTGTCGAACTTGGTCATTTGAAATCGTTATTGAAAAGTTGAAGTTTTGTTGAAGTAAATTTTCTATCTGAAGTGAAGTTTGAAGTTTTACAGAGAATTAAAACGATGCTCTCATATGGATCAGTAAATATTGCGATCATTTATGAGTATTTTCAGATTTTTCCTTCAACTTCGCATTTTGATTTATAACAAGGAACATTCGAAAAGCTTAAGTCAAAATTAAACCTTATAGTGCCTTCATAAACCTTTCAAATATTTTGCCACTTTAAGCTTGCTTTTTTCATGCAGGAAATGACCACTTTGTGAGATAAAATTCTTCTAAAAAAGCGTCAGCAATTCTCAAAACTGGCTATAACTAACCGCTAATTTATAATTAGGGATGAATTTTGGAACAGTGGAGTAGCTTTAGAAAAATCCTATACCATACACGTTTGGCAAAACACTAGGATAATATTCAGACCGTAGGTTTTGTCGTTTGTAAATGCTTGTAAATGTTCATGTCTTGTGTTTGCCTTTGCATACCTCGTATCAAAGTTTTGATTAGAGACCGGTTGTTGACAGAGCGTTAATTTCCCCGTAAACACGTTTTTTCCAAAAATCGATACACACGCAAGCAAATTCTCACACCGCGCGAAAATGAGAACTTCTGAAACATTCGCTGAGAAACTGCTATTTTTTATTTCACACACAAATGCAAAGACGGCTTTCTTTTCTTAATTTAAAATCTACACACGCCGGTCTTTGTTTTCAACTAAAGAACCAGGTGTCAGATAGAAAAGAAACGCAAACAACTTTACCAATGATCTGTATGTTTTCAAAAATTAATTTCACCACGACTTTTAAAAATACCAAGAGAGACTTCAAGTGCAAAAACGGACTAAATAGTTGGTTTCAAAGTTTCTTTTTGACGACTCGAAGTTAGCTTATTAAATCAATATTTATCTCTCTTCGCTTGGGGAACACGGATTTCTCTCAACACAAAGCAATTAGTTGAATTTCAAAGCGGAAAGCAATGTCGTTAAAAAATTGGATTCTTCCTGTAATTCCCATCAGGAAATTAATATCAAACATCGATTCCAACTGCAAATCACTGTCAATAACAAAATCATTAAATTTGAGTTAACGTTGATACAATACGTTTATTCATGTGCCAAGCGAGAGATGATGTGCTCAAAATTTGTTTGTCAGAGTCCCGCCGCGAATTTTCATTGCGCTATTAATAGTACGAAGTTATCCCAGTGGCTCATTAAGACTTTTCTCTGCTCACCTTCCAGATGGCCGCCGCTGCAACTGTCAACTTTGCGCCACGACGATGTATCCCGACAGGCTTTACGAGCATCACCTGTCACAGATGAAACCGCATGACGTGGTGTGCGGACTCAGAGAGGAAAGATTTTCTCCTTTGGTAAACAAGCAGAGTAATGAATCCCCGGACAATCCAGCAGCCTACCCGTTTACCCTTGCGCTCCCGCAGTCTTCCACATCACTGACGTCGTCACAAGAGGAACAACGAAGACAGAAACAGAAGCGATTTCAGTGTATGCATTGCGAGAAATCTTTTGGAAAATCTTCACACCTGCGTGATCACATCAGAACTCACACCGGGGATCGCCCGTTTCGCTGTCAGTTTTGCAACAAAGCTTTCACCCAGTACTCGAACTTGCGCACGCACACGCGAATTCACACGGGCGAAAAGCCATTCAAGTGTCACCACTGTAACAAAAGCTTTACACAAGCTGTCACGCTAAGAAGTCACACAAGGACTCACACGGGTGACAGGCCTTATCACTGTAAGAGGTGCAGCAAATCGTTCGCCTGTTTTTCCGGTTTGAAAGGACATCACAGGGTTCATTCGGACACGGAGCAAGATGAACTGGAAATTTAATAAATTGCAAACGACTAAAAGAGAATCACAAAATTGTCAACATGACTTGTAAACCACGCCTGATATACTAAGTATAAAAACAGAATTTTCGCCAATAGTCGTGTTCAACTTCATATCCATCCTGACCGAAAGGAAAAACTGCACAAGGAAAGTTTACTCCAAGATAACTTACCCGTTTAACAATCGGTCCGGTAGATCCTTCTGCAAATGACAATCGAAAATAAAAATTTACCTCTAAGAAAGCTTTTCATGAAAGATTGAAAAACCCAGTTTACAAAAGTGTGAAGGTCTTCAGTCAACGCACTGAGCTTATATAATTGCAAAAAATAACCGTCTGGATAATGTTCATATTTACGTAATGTATGTTGACTATATAACAGTCACACAAATGCAGTACTTAATATAAAATCAAATTTTCCTGGGTGCGAAAACACCTGAATGACGACTATTTGATTCAGGATGCTTCTTTCGCTTTTTTTTATGAAATTCTCGATTAGAGTTACGTCACTGGCTTTCAACTTTTGGAGAGGGTCTATTACAATGGAGATTTTAAAGAGAATTGTGATCCAATTTCTTCCTATTTTCCACTGCCGTTTCTGCCGAGTCTGTACTGCACTTTTGAGCTCTAATTTTTGTGTTAAATGTGAGAGGTGTAGTTGAACAGATGTTAGAAATAATATTGTAAATACAACACTCTTCTTTCTGTATAAAATAACAAAGAATTGTATGAAGTCCTGTGTCTTGTTTTTGGTGTTTGGCCCAGCCTTGCGATGGAACGCCACAATAATGATTTCCTATCTCCTCCCCTCCTGGCGTAGGGTCGGGGGGGGGGGGGGGAGAGGGAATAGGATATTTGTCGATGAGTCGACAAAACACTTCTAAGAACAGTAGGCACGGTAAAAATAAAAAAAAACCAAATATTTGTACTGATTTACCTTGTACCCTGTATAATTTGCAGCAAGTTTTCCTGTTTTCGATTTATATTGTTATTTCACAAACAACAGCTGCTCCGAATGCAATCTTTACCCTCACCCGTGGAATAAATGCCCACGTAGCCAGAACTGATAAACTTGCGGCCAGGCCCTCATGCATTATAATATTAGGGAGTTTAAGAAAACCACGACGACAACGGCAACGGGAACGTCACTAAACAAAAGGTGTAATGATCAGAACAATAGCTGTGCACGTGCGTTATAAATTTTTGTTCATTTTTCAACGTCCTGTGCAAAACAACAACGTGAAATGACCAAATTTTGCGTCGTCTAGAGAACGTGAACAACGACAGCTGATTTTTTAGATTTTTACTTCTAATTTAACGTTGTGTTCCATATTCAGTTTCGAGATAGTTTTGACCGTGAAAAACAAACAACTTTTGAGTATCGCGAGATCCGGAGGTAAAATGGAGATTCACTTTTTTTAACCGACGTTGTCCACGGCGTCGCCATCGTCGTCTATTACACTCCCTATTAGCGCTGTAGAACGCGCGTTTACTCTACCTGTAGGAAGATTTGGGACAAGTAAGGCAGAGGTTTGCCGGGGCTTTAGCCTCATTATCAGTACTACACCCCTTACGCACCTCTTGCCAGCTTCCGTTGCTCGGGGCTTTATACTTTTCCTGCGAGCGAAGAAACACTCGTGCTGAGGCACTAATAATGAGGAACTATTCGCAAGGTAAAACTGATTTGTTGAAGTGAACGTTCTCTTCCTGACGAGAGTTTTCGCACATAGCCAGAGCTTCATAGGACGCTTGTCTCACTGCGTTCATTGCAAGCTGTTGTATAAACAGTTCCCGCTTTTTCTGGGTAAAACAAATTTTGAGATGTATATCGTAATCCAGCACTGACGAAGAAGCAGCATTTACTAAGAAATTGGTGATAGGCTTTTACTTTTCCGAGCTGTCCATACTCATTGTTATTCTCATGCAAATACGACTAATTTTCGAAAAAAATGTATTTTGAATTTTGAATTCATGTTGAAATGGGGGTTTTGAGAAATCGGTTATAGCCTCTATCAATTCATTTAGGCCTATTCGACTTTGGAAGAAAATATGATACTAGGTTGCTTGCCATTTACCTAGTCACGCATTTGATTACGTGACAAGCTTTTAAAATTGTCTGCTATATTTTCAAATTCGCTCGTAAAACCTCGAGAAATCGTCACAACAATTATGTAATCTTATAAAAAGACTACAGAGATTGCTTAGATGCTAACTTGACACGAAATAACCTTGATTTGATATCTTACCTGATGCGTGAGCTAAATTCTTGAAAGGCTATACATGTTATAATATTTGCTCGCACAAAACAACAGTCATCAGGGGTCCATAACTTAGGTAATAGGCTCCTGAGACATCCATTACGTCCACCAAATAATCTTGGTCTCTAATTCTGCTGGCTCAGCTGGTCCACAAACATCTCACGTTTATTCTAGACACGATTTAACCCGCCAAGTCAACAAAGGTTACATTTTCAGTAACGCGTATAAGGTTTAGTAACCGCCCCTTACAGTCCTTTGTTTCCAGTCCTCTCATTCTAATTGACTTGGCAGTCCTTCACAGTCCAATCACCGCAATGATTATCTGCCGTAAACTCTTTTTCTATTACTTTAAATAACAATGTTATTAAGCGGGTTTTTCACTTCTCTTATCTCGGTATAGTTTTTGATGACCGCCTTAGCTGGAACGAGCAAATAAAGCAGCTTATTTCGAAGGCGGGAAAACGCCTAGGAATGCTCTGCAGGCGCGCCTGCAGGCTTCGTAGAAGCCTCACTAGAGAGAGTGCAAATATAGTTTATTGTAGGCCAAACATGGCTTTGAAGCCCTCCAAAACCGGGCTGCTGCTGCAAAACCGAAATGTGCGCAGCAACCCGGCAATGGACGTTCTCGGAAATGGCCCACGCTGGAGGAGCGCCGTCGTAAAACTGTTTTTAAACCTCGTTAAGAAATGCCTGCAAGGTCAATGTCCCCAATATTTTCAAAAATATTTTAAACGTAATAATACAATTTACGCCCGCGCCACTAGACAAAGCAACCTTTTACATCCGCCTGTTGTGAGGACTGTGATCGCAAAATGATCTTTCTATTACTATGGGTGATGGTATTTCGTATTTCTTTACTTTTAAATTTTTTATTTGTACATAGTTTTCTATCTATATTACTATCAGTATCAGTGTAATGCATATGTATACCATAGTTTTAGTGCATTACTGTGCTCCGGGCTCCATTGATAACAGACAGCTTTTTGCATCTGAAGAGGCTACCCGAGCGGTATAAATCAATAAAAGTCCTTCTTCTTCTTCTTCTTCTTCTTCGTCTTGTGGTATCTTGTGAAGTAAAACTCTTTTCTGCCGAGTCTATGCCCGATGCAATGATTTGTAAGATATGCAGTTCCACAGACAAACCAACTTGTAGACCCGCGATCACGAAACCCTCCTCAGGTCACAGTCCACTGTACTGAAAGTCAGTTATAGCTGGGATTATATTAAACATGGCAAAAGTTCAAAATGCAATTTTCATCATTGATGCTCATTACGGTTATCATAAAAGCAGCAAGCTTTGACCCACTCAAATAAGAATATTCAAAATACTGAATGTATGGCGACAATTAGCGTTTCAATAATGCTAAGGTTTTTACTCGTGGGCTTTCACCCTCAGGCGCGACATCGGTTGGATTTTTATCTTTCAAAGGTTTTTTTATCGTGATGGAAATGTCATTTTATAGTGATCGGAAAGCTTTGAGTGTTGTAATAATGTACCTGTTTTATCGTTTACTTAAGGAAAATGTTACAAAGGCCCTCATTCGACACATTTATAAACATTCACCATACCACGACATACCACGAATTCTGTCGAGTGACACTTCCGAAACCCGCACTGATGAGGGCTCAAGATCTTGTTTTGCTGAAGATATTTGTACAGTTGGATATGTACAGCCCGTTCTAAAACCTTGGATAGAACAGATAAAATGGAAATCGGGCGATAATTGTCCATCTCATCAGCCTTTCCCTTTTTAAAAAGTGGAATGAACCGCGCAGATTTCCAGTCACAAGGAACTTTGGCATGACGCAAAGAAGTGTTGATAATGAACGTCACAGGGTTGACTACAATATCCGGAGAATCTTTTAACAGGCGCGCCGGTATGCGGTCCAAACCCTCAGCCCTCACAGATTTCAGGCTATGTAACTGCGACAGAACAAACTCCCATAGAAGTTACTATAAGTTGTTAAAAAAGTCTGAAGTTTAAAAGCAACAACAGTTGTTTTAAGGGAGTGGGTCTTATTTTCAAATTAGCTGGTGGTGATCGTAGATTTCATGAAAAAATTTTGATGCCTACAGGGGCTATATGCATCGATCATCACTTTTTCCCAACTGGCTGACAATCTCTAAATTTACTTTCTATAATACATCTTCACGTTTTGTTATTATTGTTTAGATGCAAAATAAACTTACTTCTTCCTAAAAATGGTGTAACTTTTATCAACACCTAGCCTTGAATGTGCACCCACCTAGAGGGGCCAACTCTGCCTCAAAGTCCTAAAATTTTTACAAGCTCTCATAAGCAATTCAATTCGGTAACTTTGGCTCTTCGGTTCCGAACCTCATTCTCAAAGCGGTCTGTCTCACCGCCGTTATATAATTGCACTCGAGGCTCGAAGAATAGCCTCTCATTCAAATGGAAATATATCTATCACTGTTGATCACATTTTCAAATATTTTGAGGGCAGTTTCAAGACATTTTGCTCAGGGGTGATCCACTATGCAAATTATGCAAATCTAAGGATCAGTTAAGGCTCTGACCGTGTGACACGCAGTATTTTGAATATTCTAGCAGATAAATGTCGCAACGTGTTGCTTTTTTTTAGTGATTACACAATATAAGGATCAGGTAAAAGCTTTTTTGACAAAATTTTAAAGCATCTGAGCACTGTCAAACAAGAATTTCGATTGTGGCTAATGACTATGGGCGATCACAATAACCTTCAAGTGGGTAAAGAAACACCGGCTTCAGACACAAAGTCAAGGTGGCTTAATACTTTCTGTTTCTACATCTTTGGTTTTTTCACCTACTTCAGCGTAGAAATGTTCGTCATAGGAACGCAGGATATCCTGAGCGGCAGGAACATTCCGACCGCTATTTTGATCACTTGCTTTGAAGGTCCTTTAGTGATGTCCAAACTAGTCATTCCTTGGTTTCAGGAGAAGATTCCCTACGTGGTGAAGGCGTTCTTTATCGCATTCTTTATGATTCTTGGATTGTCTATAGTCGTTTTCGCAAACGACTTCAGAGTGAAAATTTTAGGAGTCGGGCTAAACGCCATGGCTGCTGGAGCTAACGAAGCCACCTTCCTTGCGCTGGCTTCGTTCTACCCAAAGCTATGTATCAGCGCGTTCGTCTCTGGTACTGGATCGGGTTGTCTGATTGCCGCTCTTTACTACATGGGTAACTACAAAAAATTCTCTTATTTTTCAGAGCTTTCCTTAATTGAACATGAGCCTCTGTTCCTCTTGATACAGAGTGTGTTTAATTGAATTTACTCTCTAGTAGTTAACCGCAAAAGGGGAAATAATGAGTGAATATCATGAAACAAACTGTCTTCAACATGAAAATAGCGAATGTTGAAGCTTGCGATAAGGGAGCGACCATGAGCGCTTGAAAGAGAAATTCAAGAGAGTGCAAGGTCCCGTCAACTTTACAACAGAAACAATGAAAAACGCAATCTATAGGTAACTTGTCCATCGAAAATGGGATAATTAATTAAGGTACTTTTAACCGGATAAAATTGAAAAAGCTGTCGTTGACTGTGTTACAAATCAGTTTGAAGAAAATACATTTTGAAAATTGAGCTTTTCGAAATCGTCAATGTCAGTGCTCTTCCTTATTACACTTCCGATTCTCGCTCAAATTCCAACGACACGAACGTCGATCGAAGCCGAGAACTGAACTTTCCATTCGTATCCTTTTTCCCTCCTACATTTATAGATTTGGACTTTTGTTTGTGTGCGTCACGTAGAGATTTAAATTTTTTATGACGCCGTTAGTGCGCTGTGTCATTATAATATGGAGGATTAGTTTTGTCATTTGCATTTCAGACGGAATACTGACTTTCCCCCTTTGTGTGTCTATCTAAAAGGAAACAGTCAAGTGTTTCTGTCGCTGGTCATTATTTCGATTTAAAAATAAATCAGGCAAAAATTTAGACGGAAAATATCAGCTACGTTTACAATCTGAAAACGTCTTTTCAAAATTACTCTTCGTACAAATTGTGTAGACGGGCTCCTTAGAGAAAATAAAGAGATGTTCGCAAGTAATATGCCTAGATTTCCTATCGTATAAAAGCTAAGTTTTTCGTTTGTCTCACAATGTAGTCACGTGTGATGTAGACCGCGACGTTTCGACTGCATACTGCTAGTCTTCTTCAGGCGATGAGGTCGGCTAGTCATGCGATCTACATCATCATCGTGAGACAAACGAAAAACTTAGCTTTTATTGTTATTCACCACGATGAATAACCACAACCTTTTCTACGCAATAAATCCTATCGTCATGATCCCAATGAAATTCTGAACTACTAGCTAAGGGCTACAATGCTCAATATGTACAGTTGAAAGAGAAAAGTGATCATTGCTTTTTCTTTTTATCAGCTCTCACGACTTGGACTTGCTTATCTCCTAAGACCACCATGATGATAACAATTCCCCTTCCTCTGGCAGTTTTGATCTTTTACGCATTGCTGAACAAAGAATTTCTCCCAAACAGCTCTCAAAGCAGCCCCATGAAGCTCAAACACGTTAAATACTCCACTGTAGGATCCACTTCTGACACCATGGATCAGGATGCGCCAACTCGCCAAAAACTAACATGTGGCGAAATGCTTAACATCGCATGGAAAATTAGTTCAGTTGGTATTTCTCTATTGTTGAGTTTTTCTGCTGAGTATATCTCAACGGTATCCGTGCTTACGACGATTTCTTTTCCTAAGTCACAATTTCTCCCCCGCGATCATTTCCTTATTTATCTGCTGTCGTACTACATCGGTAGATTTGTCGGTCGAAGCTATTTACTTTTATTTGCTTGGCTGCCTTCTGATATGACGGAATTCCTTCGCTGCAATAAAACCTGGATTTTCACAATGCTGCAGTTGGTGCAACTGACGTTCTTAATATTGGATTCGTTGTACCATTTCGTCCCGTACATCTGGATAATAATCTGTGTTTGTTCATCTCTTGGTCTAATCGGCGGAATAATAAGCATGAACGCACCCCATGCAGTTGGGCAGCACGATAAATCCGAGGAGAAAGAGTTTGCTTTAGGACTGGTGTCAGTTGGTTCATCTATGGGTATATTAGTGGGTGCCCTGATTGGCCTGGCTGTGGAATCGAGTCTTAGAAAGCATTGTGTCGAGCATTACCCAGACACCAAAGAGTTCTGCTTCACAAGATATCAAGACACCACTGGCTGGGAAACTAATATTCACTGTTAAAGCCTGTTATATATTCTGACGCTTTGGAGCATACGCGCTCTTAAAGCCAAAGCCAACCAGCTAAACAAACAACCTAACTGACCAATAGACAAAGGTCCAATCAAAACTTCGTTTGTATTAATTTTTATGAGAGAGAATGTCATCACGAAATTTATGTGTTTTCCGTCAACAAAGACGTTTTTTTGTTCGCCAGACCACTCAGTGATGTTTTTTAGGTTGAGCGCATGATGATCAGATGATGATCGTTCTCTCATCGGCAAGCCTGCTTTAGCAAGTGAATTCTTTGAAATCCTACATTGCTGAAACAGAATGAATTTTGGGTCTATTTGCATTAGATTGTGGGTTCCGAGAAAAAAAAAATTTTATAATCGAGTGAAGTTTCTGATACTTACGAGAATCATCTTCAGATGTGTAAAACTGAGGCTTGTGTCTAAGTTGCGTGCAGTTGGTATGTTTTCACAAGACATCACAAAAGAGGTTTCTTAGGGCCAGACTCAGCAAAGTGCTTTTCACGCGCGCTAGTTGGTTAGTATGGAAGTGATTTGCAGTCTTATTTACCACTGGGCAGCCGAAGACCATTTCTCGGGGTATCGACAGATATAAACTAATGTTTTGGTTTCTGTGTGGTATGTAATAAAACAGTTACTTGCCTCAGTGTCTTTGAAAGTGGTGGATATTTACCACTAATCGCCTCCACTTCAGTGATTAATTGTTCATTCTTTACTTTTCAGTTTTTACGCGAGTCGGCTGGATTCCACCGGAAATTATTTGTAGCTCACCACTATTAACCCAGCAAAGACTAGTCACCCACAGGAGCCCATTACTCGGAGCGTTCAACTCCCATACTGGGTCTATGTAAGAGCCCATCATGAGCTCTCCGGCTAATTTCTAGTTTTGACCAACAACCCACCAATTTTCCACGCTCTCCTATACTCAAATGTCTTAAAACTAAGCGCTCTTGTTCTTGTTCTAAACAAACATAGTTATTTTCTCTTGAAATAGACACATATATTTTCACTTAAGCGCACTGAACGAGGAGTGGTCACGTGTTTTTAACCAAGGAGGCAGGAAGGCAAGGACGAGGAAGACGTCGATTACAAAAATGAATTGCTATTCTGAGTTGGAATTTTGCAAATGGCTGGATGTGTTCACCGTCTCATAAGGTACCACACCTAAATCTCAGTATCTCAGCGTTAAATTCCAAATGAAAACTTTTGGGTGGCCTTTTCAGACTACGAAAATTTCTGTGATTTCACGTTGTTGCTTTTGCATATGACGGCTGAGTAATGTTCAAAGTATTAGAATGCACGTGCTTAGTTAATGTACTTCCCTTTAGATCGTCCTCGTCACCGTCACCATCGTGGTTTTAGGGTCCTTAGTAATTACAAACGAAATGCTTGGGAGCCTCTCTGGAAGAGCGTGAAGCCCATTTCTAAAAAATTCTTCTATGTAAAGCTTCCGTTCTTTAAATTTAACATTGGTGGGTAGAAAATAATTCTGTTCGAACACGTTTACAAAAGAAGAAAATTATTGATTAAAAATTCAGTACCTTGGTCTACCGTGTAAAATCACGAAGCAGTCCACGTACCGTACTCTGAAACTCCTGCACAAAATGAACCCCAATTCATTACTAAGGCTTCAAAACTAAGGCGAGGAGTCGGTATGTGGCATTCTTTCGATTCTTGTAATATGTTCAATAATTTTTTACTAGGAGCCGTCATTTTTGTGAATGGTTAGCAATTACTTCGAAGCTCCAATGACGTTTTGATAGGCAGAGTGATGATATTTCAAGTGGGAAACTAAGAAATCACATTTCAGAATTAATTTAGCACAATGGGATCATGCAATTCTACAAAAAATGGGGTGGAAAATGAGTATGAGTATGGACATGATCATTTGGTGATGCTGGGCAAACAGATGCTTCACAACCTTATGGTTCCAATGGTCTTGTTACTGAGACATCAACTTGTATGGAAACATCACAACAAGGATGAAACTGCCCAACTGCTCAACGAACATAGAGCACTGATCAGAATGATTCCATGGCAAATTCTGAAGAATTCTTAAGAAACTCGTATGAACAAATCATTCAAAAGCTCCAAAGCTCGAGAGACCTAATTTGGCCTAAGGTGTAATCAAGTTCTCGAAAAGGGTTACATCCCTAACCTCTGCTACAGCTATGCAATCTAATTTGGCGAGTGCTCTTTTTACTTTTGGGTCCAGTGAGGTAAAGAAAACAGGAAATGGAAAAAAGATTCGAGTCCAGCCAAACAGAAAAAGAAAGTGTGGTAGTGGAAGCCAGGCTGTATCAAAAGGGCGACCAGTACAACTTCAAGAACCCACCTCCAAAGGAAAGTGAAGCCATGACTTGGCTAAAGCAGTGCAAACGAACACTAAAAGTAATAAAAAGTCTGGGTCCCATGCTATGAAACCCAAGACAAAGCATATACAATGGAAAAAAAGGAAAACAAGAAATCTTAGTGAGTAAACAATGGTTTTTCATAATGCTTTTTCATAATGTAAATTACCTGGATCCCCGAACCCTCTCCCTGGATCTGCCTCTGACTTGGAAGAGCAAGGTTAAAAAGATTCAGGTTTTGACATTGTAAATAAGTTTTGAGTTATTCTGTCCTGTTAAAATCTAACACAATATTGTGATTATCTAAAATTTGGTTTTAACAGTAACTTTATGTGTCTGGATTTATGGATCTTTCTTTGGGTTCAGATAATTTGTTTGATGCCATACTATATGTTACACTAGCCAATCTCAAATACTTATAATTTTGTTATATTTTTTGTTCAAGTGAAAACCTGTGGGTATTAATGTTTGTTTGCTGATATTCTGATCGAAGAATAAACAATGTTCAGCCATTGATTCACATGGGGCTTAGGGTTAACTATTGACTATAACCAACTGATTATGCAATGTGTGATTCCAGGGAAGAACCATACCTCCCACTAGAAGGATGTTGAGATTTGACTTTCCCACTGTTCTGCAATTTCTGTATAGTTTAAATGAAAAATCCTGGCCACATTGAACCCCATCACACCCCCCAACCCTTTCCGTGAGGGGGTATGGTTATGACCAAAATTAATTTCAGAAATTGAAATTAAAAATTGAAAAAATAATTATGTATTACACATTGGTCATAAAGCAATATCAAATCATCTTGGTTAAAAATAGCGAGTAGCAAAACTGTTGGTGTTTTAATAATGATGGCATGAATTCTCTAGCAGCTTAGCTTTTATCAGCTTTATATTCCTAGGCTATTTTTAATTAAAATGTGTGGCAAATCGGTACACTTATACTGACTATCCCTTAAGGATATTCTAGAGTGTTGCCTGAAAAAAAAAACAATTCTGAACAACATTAGAAAATGGACATTCATCTTGATTCAAAACATAAGTTCATAACCTAAAAATACTACTTGGAAAGTCTGGCAAAAAAGTTTACACTCTGAGTCCCTTTACAAAGTTAGCCACATAATCCACATGGCAATTATTTTTGTCTTTATCCGCTGTTCAAATAAACGACTTTTACATATTCACAGTGAGTCGTTTATTCACTTCTTCACGGGTTTATCTGGAAGCAACATTAGCAATAGCTCCCATTTAGCTTGTTAGCTCAGTTGGTAGAGCGCAGCACCGGTATCGCAGAGGTCACGGGTTCAAATCCCGTACAGCCCTGATTTTTTTTTTCGGCATTATTTTCACCGCTTCTCAATTAGTGTTTATTACTGCGAAGATTGCTTTCATATTCACATATTTCTGTAATGAAACCCATTGATCATGAAATGGAGCAGGGTACTGATAAACATTCGCAATGTTCGAAGTTCATTCCCAACCTTTCGTCTGTCTATCGGCAATTTCTTTCACATATTGCCAACCACTTGGAAACCTACCCGATTACTGCCTCCTTCCAAGTTGTTCCCTGACTTCTGGCTGTGGATGATACAAAAAACGAGGAAACAATAACATATGAGACTGCTCAAACAAGCGCTTTATCCTGGCTAAAAATGCTGGAATATTTTGGGAAATACAAAACAAACTCACCGCTACTGACTGGAAAAAGAAGTTCCACCCCGTTGGCTTCTTTATTGATTTTGGTTTTGTGTCAGCACTAGAAGAATGGGCTGGTTCTGGTTCAGCTGGCTTACCTCTCACGCACGTGGATTGTTCCACCATCTTGTAAACAACATTGACACCCCGAAAGTGACGTGCGAGCGTAAGAAAATCACGAGCGAACCACGAACGAGCTTTTCACGAAGGCTGTCGTCTGTTCGGCTACTTTTCGATATGGCATCGACCGTTTTAAATGGCAGCGACCGTTCTGAGAAATGGCATCGACCGTTTACGAAATGGAAATTGGTTCCGACCCTTATTCTCAAAGCGGTCTGTCTCGCCGCCGTTACATAACTGTACTCGAAGCTTTAAAGGCCCATTTTCACCCTCGATGCAACGCGCGCCTCGACCTAATTTCCTGTAACACGAAATTCCCAGATAATTTAAAACTTTCTAAAATCGTCTTTCTCAAGAGCCATCATGGACATATAGTCAACTGTTTTACGGTAAATATATTCACCGTTCGTCATTTTACAATTTCCTTACAGTATTTTGAATTTTGTCGGGAAGAATCCGAAGATTAAATGTCACGCTTGGATCTCTTCGTACTCTGTGAACAGAGTCGGCGAAAAGGACAACGTTCAAATTTTTTCACTTTCTAGAAGCGCTTGAGCATTCTAAATAAAGATAAAATATTTTCCAATAGAAATTGGTATTTTTCAAAGAGAAATATGGAAAAATGTCAGACTGCCGGACGTTTAGTTATTCGAAGACCATGTCACACTTGGATCTCTTCGTACTTTGTGTACAGGGTCGGCGAAACGGAAAACGTTCGAATTTTTTCACTTTCTAGAAGCGCTTGAGGAGAAATAGGCATATTTCAAAGAGAAATATGGGGTTATTTGAGGACCGTGTTCAGCCGTGTCATTGAAAAGTTTCTAAGTGTCAAGCGCTTGGATTGCTTCGTACTCTTCATTCAGGGTTAGCGAGAAACATCAAGTTCGAAATTTTAGGCTGCCTGGAAGCGCTTGAGGATTGTAAATAAAGGTAGAACATTTTCGTATAAATATTTTTTTTGATTTCGAAGAGAAATATGGAAAAATATCGGACTGCCGGACGTTTAATTATTATAAGACTGTGTCCGGCTGCCGGATGTTTAGTCACTTCATTGCAGAAACGTCAGCGACATTGACAGTTTGCGTTACAATTCTTATTTGCTGCTTTGCATGGACAACAACCTCGACCACTCTTTCGAGCGCAAGCTCCTCTCCACGGGCAGGAAACTTCAATTGACCCTTGGTCCTATTTAACAAGGATAGCAAACTTCAATGTTCAATGAAAAAATTGATATATGAATGAAAACGTGGTGGATCGGCGTTTTCACCTTCCTCGGAATGCTCGCAAGTATTTTCGTGTTCCTCTCTAGCAACAACCGATCCATAAGCGTTTACTGCCTCGGAATCTACTAAATCAATGGAATCATCTGATTCCATACCGGAACTTTTAAACAGAATTATTTTGACAAGCTCACCAAAATCATCGAAGAAAACGCAGAACT